CCCCAAAACCCCAAAACCCCAAAACCCCAAAACCCCTAAAATTGATTTTTCATTGAAATAATAAAATGAATACTCCTACTTCTCAGAAATATAAAATGCCTACTACTGTGTCTTCTCTAAGAGATAGGGATCAGGTATATAATAAAGGGAAATACAGGAATATAAAAAGCCCCTATTTTTCTGTAACCTCAATTGTGTCAAAAAGTGGGAAGAATAGCCAGTGTTCCAATAGACTAACCATCCAGACTGCTCTGAAGAATATTGAGTCTCACAGAAAGGTATCTAATTTATTTTCAGGGTAAGCTATAAGCAATTGACTTTCTCAACTTATTGATCTAGAATGACCATTTCCAGTATCGGAAACTCGAAGAACAAAAACTTACAGACCTATTTCAAGACTGAAAAATAATAACGAGATCAAAGCTACTAAGTTTAACAGAGATTTTGAACGATGGACTCTTGACCAGCGGTTCCAAAAGAAATCATCCTCAGCAATGTCGCTTACCAAGTACTTGAAATAACTGCAGAGAAAAGCAGATGCAGCTTCAAAGTAACAACAAAAAGGTTGTATTTTATCCTAAGGAGAAGCAGAAGAGTAGAAATGCAAGCTCTATGACTGATTTACACTCAATTTCCCTACCGAATTATGATCAGCCTACCTTCTCAAAGAAAGAGATGAGCAATATCTTTGGATTTGCAGCAAACACAAATCAAGGGATCAGCAGGAATTATAATGAGGACAGAGTCAGTATTATAATCAACGCAACTTGTCCAAAGACGCATAATGTCCAGAATTGGCCTACCACCCACTTCTTTGGGGTATTTGATGGGCATGGAGGGCAGGGATGCTCGGAGTTCCTCAGAGTTTCCCTTCATAAGATACTTTACACTGATCCCTGCTTTCCATCAAATCCTAAACAAGCTTTGCTTAATGCATTCGAAAGAGCAGAATTTTTATTTTCTGAGAAAACTAGGAAGAAAAGTAATTTTGAATTCAACCATATTTCTGATCCATCAGGATCCTGAGCCAATGTTGCTTTGATAGTTGAAGACATGTGATACATTGCTAATCTTGGAGATAGCAGAGCTATCCTTTCAATGAACTGAGGCAAATCTGTTAAATCGATGTCTACTGACCATAAACCCAGTTGTAAAAGTGAAACTAATAGGATAGTTAAAAATGGTGGATCTGTGTACCAGACCCAAGTAAAAAGTAAATTAGTACAATAACCTTTAGATAATGGCTTAAAACTTGGTCCTGTAAGAGTTTTGCCTGGAAGACTTTCTGTCTCAAGAGCTTTCGGAAATATTGAAGCAAAAACTCCAGCTTTAGGTGGAAACCCCAACGTACTAATTCCAGTCCCTGAAATAAAAATGTTCAAAATGGATAAAACTACTGATTTCTTACTGATTGGAAGTGACGGGATTTTTGAGAAATGCTCCAACTCCTATCTCTCTAAAGTAGTTTGGAGCACAATGAAATCTCAAGAAAATATGAACAAATTTAATTTCCATCAATGTCTTGGAGAATGTGTTGATACAGTCCTTAAATAAAAGTATCATCGCTGGAACGCTTGATAACATCAGTTGTGTAATAATAGCAATGAATAATTTACTGGACAATATTATTTGACCTCCTAGAAAGATTTTAAATCTTCCCAAAAAGATACCAGGCTCATTAATGTTGGAAAGTAACTTTTCTAAGGGAATTTGCAAAACATATTCTATAAAATAACAAAGAGAATGCGAAGCTACCTCTCAACGTCAAGCCTCTGAACAACCGTATCATAAGTACAGTTGATGTTGAGCAGTTTGAGAAGGCTATGAGGAAGTCCCCTCAATTCCAAAAGAGTAAAGTATGCTCCTCAACAAACATGATCAAACAAAAAAAACAGAAAAGAGGTAGGCTCTCCATTATGGATGGATTCAAACGTAAAACTTTCGGTAAGGTTCCTTTTAACTCTAGATCTAAGAAAGAGCAAGGACAGGAAAGAGGTGCAGAGTCCTAAGCGTGGTATCACCTCTGTAAATATGAACAGGATAGTGAAGTCATCTCACTCTTGCAAGCGAATGGGTAATAATTAATTTCCAAAAGCTAATTTTCCATAAGAATTCTTAAATTTTCATCAATAATATTTCTGCTAAAAGGGGTAATGGGGTTTTGGGGTTTTGGGGTTTTGGGG